ATCAACTCTTGTAATATGAGAACAGAATCCCTTTATCCTTAATATGGGCTTTAATAGAGAGGTATTTAATAGATATTGGATAATTGGTGCCTGTTGTGGTTAATCTAAGACTTAGTGGGGTTCTTTCTTACTTTCTTTTTTATTTTATTTTTAATATATTTTATTGATTTTTTTTTACAGAGAGGAAGGGAGAGAGATAGAGAGCTAGAAAAGTCGATGAGAGAGAAACATCGACCAGCTGCGTCTTGCACACCCCCTACCGGGGATGTGCCCACAACCAAGGTACATGCCCTTGACCGGAATCGAACCTGGGACCTTTCAGTCCACAGACTGATGCTCTACCACTGAGCCAAACCGGTTTCAGCTAACTTTCTTTTTTAATAGGATACTGCCCTCAGTTCTGTGCTATGTGGATTTTCCCAACATAACTGCCTACTCATTAAAACCAGCAAAGGAGAGAGTCTCTTAGGAGGGCAGATGTTGCATCTTCCATAACACAATCAGGTGAGTGACATACCATTACCTTTACATATTCTTATTGAGTAGAAGCAAGTGACTGGTCTTGCCCATACTCAAGGGGTGGGACTTATACCCAGATGTGACTACCAGGCAGTAGGGAACATGGGGGCAACTGAGTGTTCGATCTCCATAGTCAGACTTCCTGGGTTCAAATCCTGGCCATATTACATACTATTTCCATGAATCCTGAGCATCTTATTAATCTCCAGCGTTCAATTTTCTCAACTGTAAAATGCAGTCTACTTACACTATCATCACAGGGTTATCAAATTTAAGCACTTCCAAATTTCCAGCCATTCTTGTGCCATGTTCATGATTGTTGCCTACTTTGTGTGCCTCCTAAAATATAATTCACTTACCATAATTTTCCCTTTAAAATGTAAATCAACTTTATTTAAGAAGCAAGTTTAATAATACCACTAGAAATTGAAAAAGAACTATTATTACCAGAAGCTAATTATAAACAGACATATTATCATTAATGAAAATTATTTGTTTGCAAAATTCATCTTGCACATATATTGTGGGTGGACTTATGCACTCTTAATAAAAACACTGAAAAAATTTAATATAGTTAATACAATGCCAAGCGCACAGGTAGTGCTTAATAAATGTGAACTATTCTCATTACATACCTAAGTTTGGCACTCAGAAGATATTGTGTATAGATGGGCAAATACATAACACAAGCTATTGGCAGGCACTGCAGAAAGTTCGAATTCTCTTCCTGTGTGTCTGGACTCAACTTCAGAATCTTTCTCAATATTGAGTTTTAGGCAGACGTCACCAATCAACAGGTGTTGGCAAGTACCAGAGAACACCTGCTGGCTTTCTAGTCAACAATAAATGAACTGACAGAGGAAAACAACTTACCAAAAAGGAAACCAATGACATGAAAAACAATTACAAAGCATTTGTCATTCAGCCCGTGCCGTCAATTCTGGACTCAATATTAATGTTGACTTTGAGACCTCTTGCTTCCTCATCTTGCTGCACAGCATGTGTAAAAAGTAACTCACACTCACTTTCATTAAAGCAAAATGAATGAGAGGGAAAAGCATCCACTCTTCATTAATAAAAGCAAATCCTTTCATTAATTCTAAAGCTTTGTTTGGTCCTAGGAGTTGCTGCTGCTTGGGAGGCCCAGGTGCAAAGCATCCAGATGATGATGAGTCCTGCAAATATTGTTTTTTTGCTGATAAGGGAGGTCTGCAGGACAGAACAGTCATGGGCAGCAAAAGTGATTAAGTCACTTGGATCAATGTCCAACCCAGGAGATTAGAGAAAGCTCAACAAATTAGGTTGAATCATAAATGGAGCCTTGGCTTTCAACCAGCCTTGGCTTGAACAACAGGCTTAAGCTAAGTACTCACTAATAGGTGAATAGGCTGGCCACAAGGTGTAGGGGAATGAACAGGGACTGCGGAGTCAGGGATCGGGGTTTCTGCTTACTGTATTTCCCTGAGCGAGATATGTGACTTCTCTAAGCCTGTGAAGAATAGGAAAGTTCCCAGGCCTCTGGCGAGGCCATGTGAGGAATGTTGGGTCAAGGTGCAGGGAAGGGTCAAAACTGGCATGAGAGTTTAGCCAAGTCTATGCCTAAAATGAACCATCACAATTGTTGTGTGGGGCAAGTGGGCTAAGGTATTTGAAAGTAGGTCTGACTCATAGAAAAACTCAGGAGAAAAAGTTACATATATCAGATATGTTTTATTCTGCATTATATTTTACATTTACTTATTTTAATATCTATGTTAAATGCCATAATTTCATAATACTGTATATTAATCTTCTATATGCGCCATATTTCATCGACAGCCTTCAACCCCCGGAAGGCGTCTGCATGTTCTCCTCGGCTTTCTGAGGAAGTGTGTCCTGCTCTCGCTGGTGCTGGCCCAGGCATTGGGAAGCCCTTAGGGATGGTAGGCAGTGGGAGGGAACAGCTGTGCAAAGAATTACCAACAAGAGCAACTAGGTGGAGAAAAACGTTTGCTGGGAGCCTATTATGAGCTCCAAGCCAGGTATCATGGGTGCAGTGGCAAACAAACCCCTGTCCTCATCACACCTACATTCGTCTGTGTGTGTGTGTGTGTGTGTGTGTGTGTGTGATATGTATGGGTAGGTGGTATCAGTCACATAATCACACACATCATATTAACACGCCATTGTGGGGAGTTAGGAACGAGAGGGATGTACTGTAGGAGGCAAGGCACGGACCCTGGAGCCACCACCATCTCTGCTTCCTCAGGTGTGGAATGGGGGAATTGTAATCCCCGCTGTATGGTGGGCTGTGAGGACTCATGCATTCACATGTATGAGGGGCTCACAAAGGTGTCGGGGGCAGAGCAGTCAATACTAGTTACTATGATCATGAATACAACTCTGTTGGTCAGCGTCCACTCTAGGCCAGGTGCTCAGGGAAGCACAGGGTAGCTGACACTGCTGTGGCATTCCCCTAGCTTCCAATGCTTTGCTCCTATTGGCTGGCACCTACTGAGGCCTCACAGACCTGCTGTGGCTATTTTGCACGGACAGGCTGAGAGTTAGTACCTGGGAGTTCACATCCCCGCGGTGCAGCCTGGGTACCTTGCCACCAGGAGAGCAAATGGGTCTGTCACTGTAAGCTCCCAGCTCCCAGGATCAGGCTGAGGCTGCTCCCCCCTGACTCCACTCCATGCCAAACGGCACCCTCCTTTGGCTCCTTCCCTGTCCCTCACAGGTGTCCCTGGGAATCACTTCTCTAATGAACCCTAGTCCCAGATCAGCTTGTGCAGACCTTGGTCATCAAGGAAGGCTTCCTGCAGGAAGCTCGAGGGGGGCAGAGAGGAAGAAGGGAAAGAGACCGAGGAAGATGCCAGGATGAAGGACAGCAGGTGCCAACACTCAGGAGCAGATAACCTTTAAGACACATGTGTCAAACACAAGGCCCGCGGGCCAAATCCGTGCCGCCTGGCCTTGCAATGTGGCCTGCACCGCACTGTCATCACTGCACTCCGCTGCGTTTCCATCAAAATGACAGTTTATGACTGTTCAGTAAACCATTCGGCCCGCGATTTAGGCTGGATTTTAGATTTTGGCCCCTTCTCTGATTGAGTTTGACACCCCTACTTTAAGAGATAGAAGGAGCTGGCAGGAGCCGGTGGGAATCGGGGCATCCAGGGTGAGTGTTGTGAGGCTCATGGGTCAGGGGGCCATCGTTCACAGAACACCCAAGTCCAGCTGAAGAAACGGGCTTTCACAAGGCACTGGGAAGCCACGGAAGCAGGAATGAGACACGATGAGGTTTGGGTTTTGAAAAGACCAACATGGCAGGTGGACAAGGACAGACTGGAGGGAGGCAATATGGAGATGAGCTGGGCATTTCTGCTGTGGTCTCGGTGGTGGGGGAAGAAGCAACAGACTGGGAAAAGGTTTAAACGGCAAAAAAAAGAAAAGAAAATCCCTTTGCCATTCAAATCATCATTTTGTTATTGAAGTCTAGATTTTCGTAAAGGTAGATCTTGTGATACACAGCTCATGAAATGGCCACTTGAGAATTTTTCTAAATTTGAATATTAAAATTTCTTTGTAACAAGTGCAATGAAGAGGAAACATTTGTCAAGTTTTAAAACCTTTATTCTTACTTTCAGAGAATTCTAAAAAGATACACAGATGAAATCTGACAACAAATGGATTTAAAATTCTAAAAATAATTCCATAGCAGGAAAAAAGCTTCTACTTACTTTAGCAATATGTATATATTTATTCAAATATAAAGATATAAATGTATACTTCTGAAATATTCTAAAAATATAACCTAAAAAGGAAAATCTTTATCAAATATACAGAAATATATAGAACACCTTTGGGAAAAGTGGTAGTAAAAATATATGTAAATAAACCATATGTAAACAAGTTTTAAGAAAACTTTTATAGGTATTGCAGAAATCTCTATGCATTTTCTATTTATGAAATTATACTGTCCCAAGAAGTTCAAGTTACAAAAGATGGGTTACACAGGGTGGACAAAAGTAGGTTTACAGTTGTGAGTATGCAAAAGAGTTTATTCTTATATTATTTATTAACTAGAGGCCTGGTGCACAAAATTCGTGCATGGGAAGGGGGGTCCCTCAACCCAGCCTATACCCTCTCCAACCTGGGACCCCTTGGGATGTCTGATTGCTAGGCCTAAACTGGCAGTTGGAATTTCCTCTCACAATCTGGGACCACTGGCTCCCAACTACTCGCCTGCCTGCCTGCCTAATCGCCCCTAACTGCCTCTGCCTGCCAACCTGATTGCCCCCTAACGGCTCCATTGCTGGCCTGATAGCCCCTAACTGCCCTCCCCTGCCAGCCTGATTGCCCTCTACAAAGTTCTCTTCCCTACTGGCCTAATCACCCCTAACCGCCTCTGCCTTGCCCCCTGACCCAGTGGCTTTGTCTGGAAAGACATCTGGAAGATATCTGGTCTAATTAGCATATTACCCTTTTATTAGTATAGCTTATTTGAGCAACTGTAGACCTACTTTTGCACTGTCCCATACAGTTAATCTATAATGTATGTACACTTTGCTACTGGCCCATTCTATAGATGGGGACATTAAGGCATGGTAAGTCACTAAATGTTTTTGAACTGTGGCTGAACAATAATATTGCCCCAGACCACAGATCATAAATGAAATACCATACATTTTTTTAAAAATGACACAAGCAAATTTCCATTAAAATATACCCATCCACATACAATTTAAAACTGTTCCTCCAGCTCCTGAATGTCATAGAGAAGATACATGCACTAAATAATAAAAAATTAAAAAAAAAACTTAATGATGCCACAGTAAGCCATTAAGGTCTTCTCAGAGAGGAGATTCTGACTTCATCAAAGCACTTCTTAAAATAGAGGTGTCCTCTCATTCCCTGATGATGTTCCTATTTTAAAGTGCAAAAATTTTTCCCCAAAAAATAATACATTAGCAGAGTTACAATAAATGGACTATCCATATTATCCCGAGCCCCAGACAATGGAGCTACGCTAGGTGTTGTGATTCTGTAAACTTATTTGGAAGCAGTAAAGATTCAAGTGGAGAGCTGGGTGGGGCAGGGACAGAAATGTCTGACTGGTACCCAACTAACTGACATGGAAAATGCAGGAGGAAGCAAGATCCTGGGCAACTTAAGTCAGGATGCTGCCGACATTGGTCACGTGTACGCTGCACTCTACCCTGTGGAGTGCCGGTATTACAGCTCTCAATCCGCCCCTCTGAGTCCGCTGTCTTCACTGCCACCACGGACAGTGCAGCTTCAGGAGCAGAAACACAGAAGAAAGAAATAAACACAGCATCAAAGGTCCCCTGTGCCGTCTCACGCTCCGGCTGGTGTAGTCCGCTGCTGAGTCTTGCGGCAGCCACAGCACCATCTCTGCGGGAGAGTAACAATTGTTGTTCCAGGTTGTGGTTAAAAAAAAAAATCTGTATTTTTTACAGAGTTAAATAAAGTATATCCCAATGGTACATCAAAGAAGTGTAATTCAATGAGGAATTATCTGCAAAAAAAATAAATGCTTAAACCAGAAATTATCTAGGTCTCTTGCCAAAGGTGTGGTTCGTCACCATAAATATGCATACTGTCCTTGCTGAAACCTCTGAGTTTCAAAATTCAGCTAGAATTCCTTCATTATTCTACTTGATTCAGTGCCGTTGATGTGCTCAGCGTCGAATACATTGCATCATGGGACCAGACTCCTGGGGAGGGATTCAGTAAGGCCTTCATTCAGAAATTCTACCTGCATGTTTCCTTAAATAACCACCAATCAGGGAATGCCCCTCAACTCAGTTAGCAAATAGCAACTCATTCTAGGCCAAATTTTAGGAGATTCTGTTGAAAACATAGATGGTTGACATTAAGTTTGAACATTACCATGGAATTCTATCAGCTTGCATGTTGGAAATGTTTTATCTCCACAGAAGATGATATTAGAGATTTCTCGGGCTTTTTCCCCACTTGAATAATTAACAGTGAGTACAGGGAAAGTATTACTTTGTGTTTAATACAGGCTGGCCCATACATAACACAAATATGTCCATGGTCTGTAAAGCAAGGCCCTGTGGTCATATAGTGTCCACCATCTGATTGATAAAGTTTTATTAGAATGTAGTCTTGTAAGGCAGAATAATGGCCCTCAAAAAAGCTGTTGCCCTAGTTCCCGAACCTGTGAGTATTATATCTTTTTACATGGCAATATATTACTTCAAGTGAATACATTACTTTGCAGGTCTTTGCAGATGTGATTAAGGTCACGGACACTGAGATGGGGAGATTATACTATATGACAGCCTGTCAGAGAGATAGGACAGAAGGAAGGGGGGAGTTTTAAGTCTGCAGAGAGACTCAGCTCACTCTGGGTAGCTGCGGAGAGGGAGGAACAGCTCATAAACCCAGAAATGCAGGTGACTCTAGAAGCTTGGGACAGCTCTCAGCTGACAGCAAGGAAATGGGGAACCTCAGTCCTTCAATCACAAGAATCCAAATTCCGCCAACAACCCAAAAGAGCAAGTGGATAGTTATTCCCTGAGAGCCTCCAGAAAGAGCCGCAGCCCTGCCAACACCCAGGTTTTTAGCCTGGTTAGCGCTGTATAGGACTTCTGACCCAAAGAACTGTAACACAATACATTTCTGTTATTTGACAAATTGCCTGAGGCTGTTTTCAAGCTACAAGGCAGAGTTAAATGGATGAGTGAGACCTGATGGACGGCGGGGAAAACCTGACATTTGCACAGTGGCCCTTTACAGAAAAAGCGTGTCCGCCCGTGATATTTACGTGCAAAAACTGGGCCAGCAGCACGCATGTATGGAACACTTAGTTGATTCCAGAATCTGAGCTAAGCATTTATTATCCATATCAACCATCTGATAAATACTACTTTGGTCCCCATGTTACAAATGAAAAATTAAAACAAGGAGGCAGATGGGTTAAGTAACTACTCAAGGTCCTCCCGGGAGTCGATGGGGAGCAGGGATTGAAGCCCGGGGCTGGCTGACTTGTGGGCTCAGCTCACCCCGTCACGCCCAGCCTCCCAGACGCTCACCGAGGCCTCTTATCGCTGGCAGAAGGCGATGGGGAGCTCCCGGCTGGGCACCAGGATGCCCAAGTGCAGCACTTCCACGGGCTCATGGTCCGTGGCCAGGATGTCGTATTTGCGGACGATCTGGAACACAGGTGCACAGAGAGGGAATGAGCCCTGGCCCCGCCCTGCGGAGCAGCACAGGACACAGGCAGGCAGCGGGGGCCTCACCCAGCACAGGGCCAGGTGCAGCTGCAGCTCGGCCAGCCGGCGCCCCACACACATCCTCTTCCCAACGCCGAATGGGAGGTGGGCGAAAGGGTTGATCTTCTTCTGCTCTTGAAGCCACCGTTCGGGCCTAAACTGATTGGCGCCTTCAAAATTTTCTTCGTCGGACCCCAACACCCGGGTATTTAGCATCAACACCGTCTACAAACACACGGAAACATGTGCCATAAAATAAGCAGAAGAAGGTGGTTGAAAAGCGAAACTTAACAAAAACGGTCACCTTATAGATATAAAAGTCGCCCACAAGTTTATAATAATGATGATTGCCAACATGTATGGAAGACTTGAAATGTGCCAGGCACTAAATAGGTAAATAACTTTAATACTCTGTATCACACTCTCACTACAAACCCAAGCATAGGTTTTATTATTATCCCCATTTTACAGATGAGAAAGATGAGGCTCCCAGGTCTATACTTGAACCCAGGTCTGTCCCCATAGCCATTACTCCTAATCCTATACAATGCAACACAGGTCAACTATGCACTACAATCTATTTATTTGCAAAATGAATGTTTTCTCTGTTAATATTTTTAGGGGGACCGGATGCATATTTCCAAGCTTTGTAAGGTACAAAAATAAACAAATTCTACTCACTCCTTTGGGCAAAGCATATTCACCCAGAACGGTCGCCTTGTCAAGAGTCCTGGTTGTAAACGGCACACTGGGCGTAAGCCTGGGAAAGCAAAACCCAAGATGCATGGCGGGCACAGACCAAGTGCTAGCTCAAGTGCTGATGGGAAGGCATTCTGCTTCAGTAAAGGATTGTCCCATTAAGTTCCTATGCCAAAAGGGGAACTGGTCACGGTTCTTCACAAAGAGGTTCTGTCTCTTGTTTTATTGGGTTGGCACCCACCCTCCACCACCCTGCCCCCAACAAGCCTGCTTGGTAGCTGTTCGGAGTGGCTTCCCCTGCTTTAGCCTAAACTTCAAATGTCTTCCCCCTGAATCTTGATGTTTGTTCTAGGTCAGTGGTCGGCAAACCACAGCTCATGAGCCACATGTGGCTCTTTGGCCCCTTGAGTGTTTTAATGCCACTTCTTCAAAATAGACTCACCCTAGTTGAAAACCGACTTCTGCGCATGGGCCACGAAGTTTCAATCACACGGTATGTGCGCGCCCGCCCGCATGTGGTATTTTGTGGGAGAGCCACACTCAAGGGGCCAAAGAGCAGCATGTGGCTCGCAAGCCACAGTTTGCCGACCACTGTTCTAGGTTTCTCCTATTCACTATTCATATAGTTAAAGATATTTCCTTTTAATCCTAAAATGGAATGAGTTTTGTTTCCCAGAAAGGACGTAAAAAGAATTTTCAAAGACATTTTTTATTATTTATTTACATATTTACTTACTAGAAGCCCAGCGTGCAAAATCGCTCGGCCCCGCCCACCTGTGTCGGACTTTGGTCATTATGGTGTTAGGGCCACTGGGTTTTTATAATATAGATTTATGCATTTTTGTTACTTCTCCTGAGGATATTTTTTCACTGATTTTTAGAGAGTGTAAAGGAAGGGGGGTGGGGGTAGTGAGAGAAAGAGAGAGAGAGAAACATGAATGTGAGAGAGACACATTAATTGGTTGCCTCACACACTGGCTCTCAACCTGCAACCCAAGTATATGCCCTTGATCAGGAATCGAACCCTCAACGCCTTGGTGTGTGGGCCGATGCTCTCACTGAGAACACTGACTAGGGCTTTGAGGACATTTTATACCAGAGGCTCAGTAATAAAGATGTCTCTATGTCTTATTATATAATAACATGGTTCCCTCGCTGGCTTTCATGTCAGACCCTCCAGGCCAGCCCAGAACCCTAATTAGTGCTCACCACACCCATGAGAGGATGATTCTTGCCCACTTAAAGGGCCCATCACTGACTTTCCAAGATGTCACAGAATTCGCCCAAATGACTCAGGGAATGAGTGATGGAAATGGAATGTGTTCCTGGGGTTCTTTTTTTCCGGTTTGAGAAAAGTTTCAGAATCAACTGTGGGAACTGTATTGCGGGAGGAGGGAATGACCCCTTACTGTGTATTTAAGAGAGCAGAGCCCTCCCATATATATAGCTCAGGCGTGTGCACTTACCGCATGGACTCTTTCAGACAGGCCTTTAGATACGGCATATTCCTCACATCCTCTGCCCGCGGCACCCGATCCTCAGGCAGCACGCTCTGAATTTCCTCCAGCAGCTTTTGTTGCACACGGCGATTACGGGATAAATTGTAGAGGACCCACAGCAAGCTGTTTGCTGTCTGAAAAACCAACGGACACAAACGTGAGTTTCTGCAAAGAAACTGCCATGCAGCCTGTCTGAGCTGGACGCAGGGCGATGCAAAAGTAAACAACCAACAGGCCAGCGATACTTTCTCCATGCCCTCGTTGGCTATGCCCTAAATGAACACAAGCATGGAGAGTCAAACCTACCTTATACAATGTACCAGTGAAGGCCAGTTTGTGTATTGAGGGAAGGAAATAGAATCCCATCAATAACGGCCCCGTCAGGATACTTAGAATGTCGTGTGGCACACAGATGGCTGGGGCACAAAGAAACACATGCAGAACCCAGTGGAGGGGACGCCAGGCGGGTGGACAGGCTCAATGCCAAGGTCAGGATGTGATAACGATTACTATCATGCCAGGTGCTACCAATGGGGTCAGTACTGCATGTGAGTCTAATAATTATCTCAAAAGAGCTTAATTAGAGAATTATTAATATAAAATTGACATAAAATTGAGTGGGGAATGAGCAACAGAGATCCCAGAGTGTTGCTATAAGAGATTTCTTTTCTTTTCTTTCTTTTTTTTTTTTTTTTTTTTACAGAGAAAACACACAAGAAACCGTATTTCTGGAATTTAAAAGAAAGGTGTTGTTTGTGTGTGTGTGTGTGTGTGTGTGTGTGTGTGCTTGTGTTTTTTGTTTGTTTGTTTGTTTGTTTTGTTTTGGCACACCCTAAAATTTTACCACAAAAATATTAAGCTATTATCTACTCTCGGGGTTCCAGCCACACGCAAAGCGCCCTCGTGGGATAGCGCCAACACCCAAACAAGAAACTGTGGCACCGAGCCGAGTAGTTCACGGTGCCGGCCACAGTCTGACACAGGCTCCTGCCTTCCAAGTGGCACCTTGATTTCCTTTTGGCGGAAACAGCCAAGTGCAGCTTTTAGCGTCGTAATGTTCACCACTGTTAGCCACAAGTATTTGTTCTGGAGGCCTTTTTTTTTTTTTTTTTTAGCCAATTTAAGCCAAACAGTCCCTTACAAGTGCTCATCGTGTCCTCGCTCTGTAGACACGAAGACGCTTTCCCTCGGCACATGCGCCAGTCACATGAACGAGCAAAGCACAAGGCGGCTCGGAGCCCTGGCGTGTATTATTTTTGGAAGAAGATGTCCCCCAGGCAGGCTTCTTCGTGTCAGAGGGCTGGCAGCCTCGGCTCCCTCCGTCGTGGACCGATGGCATTAGTACCAGAGAGTAATTTTCAGACAGGAAGCGGGCGGAGCTGCCAAATTAGATAGATGTCAGATTTCCCCCATTTGCCAAGGGAGACTTTCAGAATAGCCAGGGCTAAAAAAGAAACAGATTGAGCCCTATCAATGGGTCCCTCACCGCAAGCACCAAACAGAGTTTCCAAAAGGCAGATAACTGTAGCTTTCACCAAAGCCCGGAGACAGCCCTGCCTGCCGGGGCAGCTGGGGGCGAAGTGGCGGGGAAGTGGCCTGTGGAACCTCCTGGCACCAACTGTCCTGGCCTGACCTTCGTCACAGCGTCTGTCTCATCGCTGGCTTCCTGTTTGCACTCTCTCTCCACTGGGTCCACTCTCCACCCCCCAGCCAGAGCCCACTTTACAAAGCATAAACTTTATCGAGACACTCCTTGCTTAAAGAACTCAAAAAGCTTTCTCTCACAGGTGCAATAAAATTTAAATGTTGTACGAAGGCTCCTGGTTAACGTGGCCCATGGATTTCTCCAAACTCAACTCTGAGCACATTTGCTAGGTCACCAGCTCCATCTCTCTTTCTGCCCCAGGCCCTTTGCACAAGCTATTTCCTCTACTTGGAGAGCTCTTCGACCACATCTTCCCATGATTGGCTCCTCAACATGCCGGTGTCAGCTCCAGAGCGGGAGCCCTCCCCCATTTCTCTTACATCACCCCGATGGCTCCCTCCACGCTCATACCCCTATCTGAAGTAATCACATGTATTTGTTTAAATGTCTATCGTCTGTTCCCCACTGCTGTTCCATAAGGAAAACTCGTTCATGGTGGCATGTCAAGAATCTAGAATAGTGCCTGGCACATAGTAGTTCCTGAACTCTTTCATTAATTGAACAAACATTTATTGAGCACCTACTATATGCCAACTATTCTACATCCTATGAATGCAGTTGGGGACCAAACCATGCCATCACCCTCATAAAGCTCACGTTCCAGTTGAACAGAGAAATGGGTGCAGCTTTAGTTTGAATCGCTCTAAGGAGTCATGATCCCATAGGAAAGTGAGATGAAACGGATTCCCACTTTTGATAGCCTTCTGGGTCATGAGATGACATCAGAACCTTCATATATATATATATATATATATATATATATATATATATATATATATATATATTTCATTGATTTTTAACAGAGAGAAAGGGAGAGAGATAGAGAGCTAGAAATGTCGATGAGAGGGAAACATCAACCAGCTGCCTCTTGCACACCCCCTACGGGGGATATGCCCGCAATCAAGGTACATGCCCTTGACCGGAATCGAACCTGGGACCTTTCAGTCCGCAGACCGATGCTCTATTCACTGAGCTAAACCAGCTTCGGCGACATCAGAACCTTTCTATCTCCTGATGTAGAAAATGCTATTTTTTTTTTCTTCAGATAAGAAACACTGTGGAAAGGGGAATAGCAAGAAAAAGAAGTGAACTTGTATAGAATCTTCTTAGGGTCTCTTTGTGCAGGAAATGTTAGGCCTCTGAGGGATAATAATATGCATGACTCCATCGAGAGCTCAACAACCAATCAAAGCCAGTTAAACCCACCTGAACACTTGTCAGCATCTGTGTTTGGAGCCTGACTGACTGAGTACCTACTGGGAGTGTCTGCTGCCTATGGCAGGGATGGAATCTTGGTATTTAAAAGGAGCTGTTTCAGTTAAACTAAAATCAATGTTTCCCAAACTCGCCATGTTTCCAATGTAAAGCATAAAGAAAGAATTGGACTGGCAGAGAGTATTTCAAAATTTTTATAATAAGTTACAGCCACAGTTAGTTAGCATGCATGACCACCTAAAGTAGGTCCAAGTTTTGAAAATTTAAAATTTCAATTGGTGTGGTGTGGAATTTACTGCTTCTGCATTCCAGAGACAGTTGGCATGTTTATCACAGCGCTATGCCCTGCTCTGGTGTGCTGTTGCTAGGACAGAGTCATTGACAGAGTTTTCCTCCTAAGGTGTGAGGAGAAAGCCTAACCCTAACCCTAACCCAAACCTTAACCCTAACCCTAACTCTAACCCTAACCCTAACCCTAACCCTAACCCTAAGGTCTCCCATGGCACCTGCTGAGGGACTTCTTAACTTTGCACAGCTGGAGCTCAGTTAATCCTCGGGAAATGAATGAATTGAATGACTATTTAAAACCCATCACAATGAAAGGTGTCCCAGACTGTTTAGCAAAGAGCCACCACCCTCACCGTCTCCACGGCCGCCAGCTGGAGCTCCGTGACGGCGGCGTACAGCTCTTTCTTGGAGAGCTGGTTGCGGTGGTAAATGTCACAGAGGAAGTCCGCGTCGGGCTGCTCCGCGTGCTTCTCCAGCCGGCGGTCAATGGAAGATTTGACTGTTGATGAAAAGGAAGAGGAAGCCAGCTGAACATGAGGGTGAGGAAGAGGATGGGAGGGAACCTAAGATGAAATTCTTGCAACACCCAAAAGGGCTTTTGGGGGACATTGTTAGGTGAGCCCTACTGCCTCATTGAGTCATCAAAGGTGGGTGGGTGCTCACATGACTAGGGCTTCTCAAAGTGCACCAGTCACCTGGGCATCTTCCTTCAATGCAGACTCGGAACCGAGGGTCCAGGTGGGCCTGGACGTCTGCATTTCTAACAAGCTCCCAGGTGATGCTGTTGCTACTGATCTGTGGTCACATCTTGACCAGCAAGCACTTAGAGCAGGGAGGAGACCATTATGACACAGATGGGAGCTGGGTCCACACTCAGAATCAGGCCCAAGTGTCTAGCTGATATGGTCACGGATACAGGCAGACATGCTAATATAGGGTGTGGCTCCCAAATCTTGGCTATAGAAGAGGGAAGAACACCCTCTCCCAGTGTTATCTTTCTCTCTCTCTCCCTCTCTCTCTCTCTCTCTCTCTCTCTCTCTCTCTCTCTCTCTCTCTCTCTCTCTCTCTCTCATTACACACACCCCCACACCCCCACGTGCAGTGCCATGAATGTTGACGATAATACTAACATTTTCTAAGGTTTGTGAATTACATTCTAGGCTGCCCTCCCTCACTTCAGTCCCTGACAGGAGCTACCACCAGAGAAATAGTAGTGGTGATGGTGACAATGACAATGACGACACTAGTGGTACAGGAGCTTGAGTCTGAGCTGTAGGAACCTTTCTGATTGGCTTCTAGCCCTGGCTTTGCCATCACTGGGTATGTGATGTTGAGAACGTTACTTAACTTCTTGGTGCCTCAGTTCTGTTACTTGGGGCTAATGGAAGGATCTAACATAAGTATTTAGTGGGAACTAAGTATGTTTAGTAAATATATATAATATAATATATTATCTTAGGATAACCTCTAGCATCAAATATTCCCTCCATAATGTAGCAGAAATGGCTCTGATGCATTGAGATACTGTCATAATGCCAGACTTTCACATGATCTATATTAGACCTAGAAGTAATTACATTGAGGGGAGCACTCTTATTGCTGTTGTTGCTGTTGCTGCTGCTGTTGAGAGCCCATTGTAGAGGTCAGACAGCTGATGATGAAAAGGAGGCAGCATGCTGGGCCACCCCGCCACCCCAGTGACAGACCTGGAGCTTGAACCCAGGTAACTCTGACTCCAAAGTTCTCGCTTTTACCACTCACTTCTTATTTCCCAAGACAACACAACGCCACCTCCTGCCTTTTCCTTAGAATTTGTCTTCACTAGAGTGATCCCCACACTTGTGTTTGCACAGCTCGAAAGAACCAGGAGGAGCAATTCCATCAGAGGATCTAGGTAGGCAGGCCACAAGGTCATTGCAGACCTTAGCGGCAGCTCGGGAGACAGGGACTGGGTGTGGCTGTTACCTGACTTGAAAATCGTGTCCCAGGCCAGCGTGTGGGCCTGCCAGATCTTGGTGTTGAGAGTCTTGTGCAGCTCCACCGGGGTGACCATCAGCCTCCCAAATGTGCTCATCATCTACAAGGAACACAAGTGCTTTTCATCCCTCTTTCCCTCCAGGACGACGTTCTCTCTGGTCCAGGAACATCTGCACATGGCACCCTGCGCTCCCCAAAAGCCAAAGTTCAAAGCACACCCCCAGGCCTCTGCTCCCTCAGTAACATAGTCAAAATCATCTTTGGGATGATGGATTTTTCAATGGATTTAAATAACAACTTGCTCTTACAACCTACATGTCAAGAAAGAAGGAGCCCTGTTGGCGTGGCTCAGTAGTTGAGCGTCGACCGATGAACCAGGAGGTCATTGTTCAATTTCCAGTCAGGGTACATGCCCAGGTTGTGGGCTCCATCCCCAGTGTGAAAAGCTCAGGAGGCAAGCTGATCCATGATTCTCTCTCATGGATCCCTCTCTCTTCCTCTCTGAAATCAATGCAAATATATTCAATATTTTAAAAATAAGGGGAAAAAAGGAAACTATAACTTATATTCACTTGAATTTCTGAACTTCAGCCATTTCCATGCCAGTTTCACAGTATCTATTACATACACACACAACCCAAATGATTCAAAAATTTTAAATCTGAACATTTTCAGGCTTTTGAAAACAGTAATTTAATCAACTGATCTTTAATTATGCCTAAAGGTCTAACGTACATCTTCATTATATGTGCCTAGGTGCACATCCATGCAGGGAAATACACCGCACACACTGAAATGAACTATTGTAATAAGATCTGTGTGCATGCCCCTCTTGGGCGATGACTGAATGATCTGTTGGGAGCCCAGTGCTCTCCCCTGCGGATGCTCACTGTTTTGATGGACATGATGAAGTTCAAGGCTTCATCCCCGGCGTTCTTCTGGAGGAGCCCAAATCTCTTCTCATAGAGCACAAGGCAGATGCCTGTTAATAAGATAATGGCCACTGTTACCCAACCTGGACTCCTGACTACCTGGCTACTGAGGGCTCAATTCCATCTCAGAAAGATGAGGTCATTTCTAAGGACACAGGAGAAGCGAAGGGTCTGAGCGTCTGATCACCCTTCTAGAAATTACCTGCAGGCCCAATGACCCATGGCCCGCAGAACCTCCTGGTCAGAAATACCACTGTGCCAGCGTAGCCATTTCCATACAGGAGTGAATCTCTCCCGTACGTCTCGCTTTTGTCAGAGTTTATCACTGACATCACACGCAGTAGGCATCGTGAATGGCCTACCCGGTACTCATTCTCCCTCATTTCTCCCCTCAGACACCCCGAACTTTTAGGGTGTCAGAATGTCAGTCCTCAGGCAGTGAGTCAACATGGGTCTAAGACGCTGACAAGCCTGCTCCCTGATTCTCCTGCTTCCTGGATCCACTGAAGCAGCCAAATGAGCCAGGTCTGGTCAGTGAGACCAGAAGAAAATCCTCCCTGGCTTTCTAGCTAGAGCAGGAGCTGTACCCCCTTTCCTGCTCCCTTTGCCTGAAAGGCAAATGTGCGGCCGGAGGGGCAAGACCAATTTTACATCAAGCCAACAAGTAAGGCTGGGTGGGCGAGAAGATGCCCAAGCTGGGCTCCCCCACAGCATCACCCAGTGTGGCCCAGACTGCCTTCCTCTGGCCTTCCCACAAGGCTACACAATAATCTTTAAACCGCCGCAGTCAGATTCTCTTTGACTTGCAAACAGATGCATTTGATACTCCTTAATTTGAGTATTTACAGTGGGCATGTTCCAAAGCATACGCTTATTTTCTCCTCTGTAATCATCCCCTCTCTGCACCCCTCTTTCCCCTAACACCTTCTGTGGGTTTCTTGTTTGCATGGAGCTTTCTCTTGGGCTCAGATGCATGGTCTGTAAATAAAGCGAAGCGACAGGTCAGGACAAAAGCTACCACCCTCAGGGTGCCATGTCCACTCCCTCCCATCAGTATCCAGAATGACCCTTGCCGCTAATCAAACCATGCCACCCTCCTGCTAAAAGCACTACTGTCACTCCCAGGTTCAAAGTCAAACTCCGTCCCTGGTTTACATGGGTTTGCATGGCTGGCTGCTGCCTTCCGCCCCACCCCTCCTTCCCTCCCCTGCAGGATATGCCCCAGTTCTAAATGGCTTCCTGCTCCTTCAACATAATCTCTGTTCCTCCACCTGGAACATTCCTCCTTCCCTCACTCTCACCTGGCGAACTCCTACTCCTCCACCAGCTGAGATGGCACCTACGCCACAGAGCACCCCAGCCCGAGCTCAGCAGCATCCCTCTGGGGTTCACCCGTGGCCTGAGCCTGTGTAGTCTATTGAAATTGCCTTGCCTGCACCCTACTGGGCAGTGAGCTCATCCAGGCAGGGCTCTGCTTCTCATCCTCAGAGCCATCCTTGAAGAGCGTGATCACATCCCGTTCTGTTTAAAAGTCTCCATGCCCCCCCCCCCCCATGGGACTCAAACTAAAAGTCCTTGCCGGACCTACAGGCCCTGGCTTGGTCTTCCTCGGCTCCTCTTCCCCCTGCAATCCACTCACACCAGCATCTCGAAGTTCCTCAAAGGCAAGTTCGTGCTTCTGCCCAGGGCATTTGCACTGCCTGTGTCCACTCTCCAGGACAGCCTTCCAACAGATACCCCTTCTTTAGGTCTCAGCTCAGGTGTCTCCTTACGAAAGCGGAGTTGCCCCATCCAGGCACCTATGTTCTTTCTCGGGCCTCTTTTCCCTCAGCAGAGTGTATGTTGAAATGTGTTTGTCAATTGCCACCCCTACTAAAATCCAAGTTCCAGGTGAGCCAAGATGTTGCCTGTTTTATTCAAAGCTGCGTCCCTAACACGGTGCCTGGCACACAGCAGGTGTTCCATAAGTGCTTGTTGAGTGCCCATACCAACAGCCCAGCATGCAAACTGGGCGGAAAGCATTCAGAAGGCCACCATGGCCTTTCCTGCTCAGAATAGTGCAGAATTCCAAAGAGCTGTCAACTTGCTCACAGAGCCACCTTTATCCGCAAAATCACTTGCAAAGTCAGATGATGGAGACAGTGGAGACCACTTACTTTCAAATGACCATTTGTTCAGCTCACTGTATAAGTCTGCAACGTGGCCTCTCTCATCACAGAGCTCGTCCAGTCTGCCCATAAAATCAGCCAAGACCTTAGAAGAAAGGAACAACAAAAACGCATTTTCGTCTTGGAGGGAAAACAAAACAGAGCAGCGAGCTAACCTCAGGTCTTGTTACCTTGGGCATTCCCTGGCCAGCCGGGTACCCCCTCTGCAGCAGCACCAGCTCTATATTTTCCTGGGGAGCCCACCTGACACCCTAGCCACCTTGTCCTGGGCTATTTCCTCAGCTTTTCCCGCTGCCACCCTGAAGCTAAAGGTTTCAGCCTTTGATCTAAATTTAAAGAAAGGAAAACATCTCTTCTAATCAGAACGGGGACTAAGCCACAAAGGGGAAATCAGTCAAGTGTCGCTGCTGGCACAACATCTCAAAGGCTGTGATGCTATAACTACCCTGAGGTTTGCCGTTTCCATATCTGGGCAAGCAAACATCTCTTTACTGATTGGTATTGTGTCAGGCGTGTTGAACTTGGAGCCAGGAGATCTGCAAATTCTGGACGCAGCTCCCTGGCTAAATAGCTCTGTGACCTTGGCCGAGTTATGTAAGGCCAATAGATGCCAGTTCCAAAATCGGGGCTTTGGATGAATAAAGCCTCTCATTTCCTGAGGCTTCCACAGAGCCACGGGCTGCACCAGGGTGTTTTCTTAGCTGATCCCTACAATCTTCTGAGGGAGAAAGTCCTGTCATTTCTCCCATTTCCCAGGTGAGAACACTGAGGCATAGAGAAAGGCGAAGGCACGGGCCCTTGGACACAGAACTGAGGAGCACCTGTGCTGGGCCTGGAACAAAGCCCCTGTGCCGACCCAGCCCACCGGGGAGACAAGGATGCTTAGTTTGCCCACTGAGTGCATCTAAATGTCCTCTGAATTAGCTGCCATAGCTGCCACAAAATATTTAGAGATTTCACACAAACATATTGATTTTCCACTACTTGTCGTCATAAGTAATTGCAGGGTCTGGCGACACCGTGTCAGCATTCCCACGGGGCAGTCATTTGCTGAAACTGGGACAGCTGTCACCTCCAGGAAAATCACGCGCTGTTCTGTTGGCTGAAACCCCTACAGGGCCTGCCCTATGCGTGCACCTTCATTACCTGGCCCCTGGAAGCCCTGAACCTGCCATCTTTCACCCATACAATCCATGGGGGTATAAGCTCAGTTCAAAATGAACACCCAGAGTGAACACCCAGGAAGAAAAAGAGATTATTATGCTTAAATCCTCCCCTTCAGCCCCCTGTTGGCTAAATGATATGGTTCTAAATACCTTCGCCTGGCACAGATCTGCCTTCCATGCAGCCTCATTTCAGAAAAGGCCCACCCTGAATGCACTGTTCTCTCAGCTCTCCGTGCCAGGCACAGGCCTCCATATTGGCAGCTGGCTATTCTTTCTGCCAGGATGCCTTTCTCTGCCTTCTCTGGCTTGTAGACTCCTACTCATCCTGCAAAACCCAGCTCAAATGTCACTACCAAGGAACTTCATAAGCATCCTCTCCTTTAGTCGTCACAGCAAATCTACAGAGTGAGAATTGCCACTCCCATTTTACAGCCTGGGAAGCTGAGGCTCAGGGAAGTTAAAGGGTACAGTCAGGTCACATGGCATGGATGGCGGATGCTCATATCCAAGACTGAGGGATACAAAAGTCTGTGCTTGTAACTACACCCTTAATGCGATATTTTAGAGAAAGGGGAGAGAAAGGGGGAAGAAAGGCTTCGGGGAAGGAAGACGGGGAGAGGAATGAGGAGAACGTGAAGCCCTCCCCCTCCCCCCGAATCATCCAAAGCGCCCGCTTTGCCCTCTGCACTTTGTAGCTGTGACTTAAGGCTCCACAAACACCCTCCCTCCCCCAGAGACCCTGAAAAGCTGGCCCAGCCTGCACACCTCATTGATTTTGCCGTCCAGCTTCATAATCTCCACCGGTTTCATTAGTTTCTTCTGAAAGGCACTCCGGACCCTCTGCCAGTCTTCCCCTTCCCTGGGAGAGAAGTCTGTCTAGAGCAAGTTGCAAAGACCAGAAGGAAGAGGCAGATTCCACCCCTCCACCCCCTGTCCCCCTCCCCACTCCCTCCCCGCCAGCAGACTCACAGGATGAGCAGCCCGTAGCCCTCCTGGCGGTAGTCGCGATAGGCCTTCCAGGGTTTGATCTCCAGCCGCTGCGGGTACGCGCTCTCGGCGCGGTACAGCGCTTCCAGCAGGCCGGGCGAGCCCAGGTGCACCGAGTCAAAGGAGCCGAGCTTCATGCGGAAGATCTTGCCGTACTTCTTGTGGAACTCCGCCTACAGCGGGCACACAGCTTGAGGTCAGCGCGCATCCCTGACAGTCCAGAGCGCGTCTCCCCTCTCCCGCCTCCCCACCTCTCCACCCCCGAGAGCCCGCGCCTGGGGCAGTGTTGGGAGCGCCGGCCAGGGAAGGGAGAGGGAGAGGGGAAGAGAGAAGGAGAGGAACTTGGGGTGCGGCGAGGCATTTACCAGAGTGTCGTGCTGCTTCTTGAGCCCCCCTCTCCAGAGGATCTCCAGCAGGCTCCCCAGCAGTGGCCAGTTGGTGGGGCCGGGCAGGGCGGCCGCGCTCTGCGCCTCGCCGCGTCCCAGCAGCGGGCAGAGGGGCACCTCGGGCGGCCGAGGGGGCGCGCACGCCGTGGATGTCACGGGTCGGGGGGGCTGCCCGGGGCTGCGCATCTGCTGCAGGAAGGCGACCAGGGAGCGGCTCTTCCTGATGGGGGAGCTCATAGCCGCAGGGAGGCTGGGCGCGGGGGACCACGCGGGGACCGAGGAGGGCGAGGCTGGCAAAGGGGCGCCCGCTGGGTTGGGGAGAGCGGCGACTCTGGGAAAGAGGCAAGGAGGACCAGCAGAGGTGATGGAGGGGGCGGAAGAGGGACGGAAAGGACCGGGGCGAGGATGCTCTGGCTGCGCTGTGCTGCAGCCTCAGGGCGCAGGTGACGGCGAGCGGCCGCAGAGGGGAGGGCAGCCGGGGCCGGGGCCTCTTGGAAGGCGAAGGGAAGGGATATTGGTCTGCCCTTGGGTCTGCAAGTCTGAATTCCGGCTCTGGAGCCGCGAAGTGGAGATGTCAGGGAGGGTAGCAGAGATGCCTCGGGCTCTGGGTTTTTCCTCTCCACGGTCCATGCCCGGGGACCAGTATTTATGGAGACGGGGCAGGCCCGGGTGGCCAATGAGCCGCGGAGCGGGGCGGAGTGGGTCCTGGCTTGCCCGGCCCGGAGGAGGGAGCGCCGGGGAGGCTGGAATAGGATGGAGTCAGCGAGGTGAGCGAGGGCGCCTGTGCCTCGGTGACCGGTGCTCTGCTCTCAGGGCGGGCGGAGCGCGGACTCCACCCCGGAGATAACCCCCAGGCGCGCTGAGTTGCCGGGAGGTCACGGGGTGTGCGCCGGGCGCCTCCCGCCCTCCCCGGCGGCGGCGGACTGGCAGTGGCAGCGGCAGCCTGGGCTTGCACAACCCCGCTGCCAGGCGGGCGGCGGGGTCTCCGAGTGCAGCCCGGGAGGCCGCCGGCGCCTGTCGGGGCCAGGAGCCCGCGCGCCTCCGGGGCGCAGGTTCATGCCACCCTGGACTGCATCTCTCTGCGGGGAACTCCGGAGGCTCAGCATCTAAGGAGGGGATTCCACCTCTGGGTCTAGGGCAGCGAGGGCCAGTGGAGTTTGCAGAAGCTCCCCCTGCTGTTTCACTTTGGCTGCCATGAAGATTTCAGGGATCAATGCGAATCAATCACCTGCGGGTCCATGGCCAGCCCTCCACATCGCTGCCACCTCTTTAGGCGCCTGGGAAAGGCATGGCAACTGAGGCTGGCCTACCTCTTTCACGTTTCCCCCCACCCTTTTTGGGGCGCCCTGGGCAAAGGATAGGCACTTGCAGCCCCACACCACAGACCCCGCCAGGCCATCCCCGCCCTTCCCTGCAAAGCGCCTCCCCCCACCCCCCCACACACACACTCACACACACACTCACACACACACTCACACACACACTCACACACACACTCACACATACACACACACACACACACACTCACACACACACTCACACACACACACACACTCACACACACTCACACACACACACACACACACACACACACTCACACACACTTCCTAGTCATCCTGGCGGGTAGGCATAGGACTTCCCTTACAAATCCGGGAAGAGAAGTGGAGATTTTTGTGGATTATGTGAAAGCAGCTCCCCAAGATCTGCCACCCCAGAGGAGCCAGGACTTTCCAGCCTCTTGCCTGGGGCCAGTCCTCCCCTGGCAAGTTTATGGTCAGCTTTCAGTTTGTTACTTGAAACCTTTGCAGCCCAACTTGAGCTTGAACACTGTCATTTCAGATTTGTCCTGAGAGGTTAATAACTGTTAATGTGAATAAAAATAATAGCTTATATTATGTACAATGCACTTCAGATATGTGCTATATCTACTTATGTAGATATCTATACTAATAAAAGGGTAATATACAATACTAATTAGACTGGGAGACCTTCCAGACGTTCTTCAGGACAAAGCCATGTGGCAAGGCTGAGGTAGAGGTGGTTGGGGGCCTAGAGGGGAGGGCAGTTGAGGGTGATCAGGCTGGTGTGGGGAGGGAATTGGGGGTGATCAGGCCAGTGCGGGGAGCAATTGGGGGTGAGCAGGCCAGCAGGCACCTCCCCACATGCACAAATTTTGTGCTCCGGGTCTCTAGTAACAAACTGAAAGCTGACCAAATTCATGCAGGGGGGGGCTGGGGTTGTCCCTCAGCCCAGCCTGCACCCTCTCTAATCTGGGACCCCTAGAAAGATGTCCAACTGCCTATTTAGGCTGGATCCTGGTGGGTTCAGGTCTAGGACTGCTGGTTCCCAACTGCTCGCCTGCCTGCCTTCCTGATTGCCCCTAACTGCTTCTGCCTGCCAGCCTGATCACCCCTAACCACTCCCATGCCAGCCTGATTGATGTCTATCTGCTCCCCTACCAGCCCGTTTGCCCCCAACTTCCCTCCTCTGCCGGCCTGATCACCTCTAACTGCCCTCCCCTGCAGGGTTGATTGCCTTCAACAGCCCTCCCTTGCAGGCCTGGTGCCTCCCAACTGCCCTCCCCTTCTTGCCTGATCACTCACAACTGCCCTCCCTTGCTGAAACCTGTTTGGCTCAATAGATAGAGCATCGGCTTGGGGATTGAAGGGTCCCAGGTTCGATTCCGGTCAAGGGCATGTACCTTGGTTGCGGGCACATCCCCAGTAGGGGGTGTGCAAGAGGCAGCTGATCGATGACTCTCTCTCATCGATATTTCTAACTCTCTATCTCTCTCCTTTCCTCTCTGTAAAAAATCAATAAAATATAAAAAATAAAAAAAAATTAAAAAAAACCTCCCTTGCAAGCCTGGTCCCTCTCAACTGCCCTCCTCTGCTGGCCATCTTGTGATGGCCATCTTGTGTCCACATGGGGGCAGGATCTTTGACCCCATGGGGGCAGCCATCTTATGTATTGGAGTGATGGTCAATCTGCATATTACTCTTTTATTAGATAGGATAGATGCCTGGAGCACGGGTGGGGGCCAGCTGGTTGTCCCTGAAGGGTGTCCCGGATCAGGGTGGGGGTTTCTTTGGGGCATAGAGTGGCCTGGGTGAGGGGCCTGTGGTGGTTTGCAGGCTGGCCACACCCCTCAGAGACCCAAGCGGAGGCCCTGATATCAGGAATTTATTTACCTTCTACTATTGAAACTTTGTAGCCTGGAGTGGAGGCTTAGGCCAGCAAGGGCAGGTGGAAAGCTTGGCTTCTTCCATTGCTGGGGAAATGCCTCCCTCCTGCTCTCTTTGGCTGTAGCCATCTTGATTGGGTTTATTTGCATACTCGCTCTAATTGGCTAGTGGGTGTGGATTGTGGGCATGGCTTGTGGAGAGGAGTGATGGTTAATTTGTATATTACTCTTTTATTCGGTAGGATACACACACACACACACACACACACACACACAAACTATATAGTACATATTATATAGCATATGCTAAAGATATACTACAAAAGTGGGCAAAAGTAGGTTTATGGTTCTGAGTATGTGAAACAAAGTTTTGTCTAGTATTATTATTTATTAATTATTATATTACTAGAGGCCTGTTGCATGAAAATTCATGCACCTGGCATGGGGGGGGGGGGGTTCCCTCAGCCCGGCCTGTCCCCCTCATAGTCCAGGAGCCCTCACGGGATGCCCTACTGACAGCTTAGGCCTGCTCCCCACACAGTCTGGCCTCCCTCTGCAGGAGGTGACCAGCAGATCAGGTATATAGATACTTTCTGGAAACAGCACGGACTCGTTCCTTATTTCTTTCCTCTATGGTTGGAGAACAGGGGACTGAAAGATGGAGACAGAACTGTGGCCTGGCCTGAAGCTTTTGTAGGCAGCAGAAAGAGGGAGAGGGCTGGGGAAAGACTATTCCCATTTCCTTCCATGTCCTCCCTTCGGGCCCCTCCCTCTGTTTTTTCCTTCTCGTGGTAGATGCTCAGGCCTCGGACCCACTGGAGCCAACAGTGGTGTTCAGCCCCCTGACTTCTCAGCTGAACGTACAGCCGCCTCTCACTCCAAGAGGGGCTGTTTTCAAGTGACTAAAGCGCTGGGACTTCACACCTCCTGGCCTTTCCTCTCTCGGGGTCCTCCTTGGGTCTGTTGCAAAGTTCACGGAGACAGAAGCAGCTCTGCCCTGGAGGCAGGGCTGGGGGGACGCATGCAGGCAGCATTTCGTCCCAGGTTAGGGTCACAGGCAGAAAGCTTCACCTCAGTGCGGGGGGAGGGGGAAGACGACACCCATGTGGTTGGAGAACAGGGTCTAAAAAGGGTCTAAAAGTTGGTGACAGAACTGTGCAGGCCTGGGCATGCCTCCACTGGGGGCGGAAGTCCCCACCCCTGTCCCTCCCCCCCGCCCCCCCAGCCTCTGTGCGTGCGAAACCCATTGACTGGTCATGACTCGGACACTGTATGGACAAATTAGCGAATTACCTCTTTATTATAGAGGATTTTCCATATAAACAACTGTAAACTTAGTTTTGCCCACCCCCTGTATATGCAATATACACTCTATCTTGTATAACATATGTTACCTAGTATACCAATGAAAGCTTTGTAGGCCGTATGATAAACCAGCCACTAAGCTAGACATTTTACCTAAATTCTCCCATTTAGTTCAGCCCAACAACAACAAAATAAATTAATAAATAAAATGAAGCTTGAAGAGTTAAGTAATTTGCCTGATGTCACAGACCTTACTTCTGGCTCATGTGGGATTCAGACCCAGATTTTAAATTCTAACCTAGGCCCTTAATATACACCTCCATATACACCGTGCTTTATCACATCACCTTTCCTTACACCAGGACTATCTCTGAATACTGGAAGTATTCCTTAAATGGGACTATCTCCCAGAGGTGGGCGGGGTCAGGCTGTGTGGCTGAGATGGAAATGTTGTTTTATGTGCTGATGATAGTGAAAGAGAAGAACCCTAACAGAAGATCCACTTAGCTCACCACTGCATGCCTTGCTTCTGGGGTGGGGGGGTGGAGTATTGTTGGCACATAATACATGCTCAGTAAAGCATCCCTCCTCTCGCATGCCTGCTGCTGAGTCATCACCCCTCTTTCTTCTTCTTGTCAGGTATGCTCAGGAGGAAAGGCAAACATTTTCATACTTGCTGGTTTTTCATCTGAGCCGAGACTATGCTGCTTTACAAACGCCAAGCAGATGCTTGGAAGGGCGGGCAATCATTAGTCTCAATAGCACGAACATCCCCGCCTCAGGGAAATTGGTTTCGCATGTCCAGTGGAGGAAGTCCCCCTGATTTTACCCTGGGTCGCGGAGGGCAGCAAAGCCGGCTCTTTGAAGCTTCGTGGACATGGACACACACCCATCCTTGAGGAGGTACAGCTAATTCAAGACTTGGGGCCCAGACCCAGCCCTCTCTATCCCTCCCTGGGCGGCTTCGCTGGCTCGCGACTTAGCCTCTGTGAGTCATCGCCTGCGATCCTGCCGGGAATCACTGATGAGAGATCCCAAGCGTCTCAGAAGTGCCCGCCGAATTACTGAGACCCGGCCCCAGCCCTGCTTGGTTCTGGGAAATCTCACCAAGACCTGAGGGGATAATTATACTCCAGCCCGCAACCCCAAGTGACCACCGGTGACAAAGTGTCTGTGCATGTGCACTTGTGCTGAGGGCAGGGCGGCCGGAGGTGGTAGAGCAGGGCAACGTGGGGCTTCTCTGTGCTGGAGACACAAAGCTCTCTCAGACCGCTCCAACGGTAATAAAGTGCTGTGCCTGAAGCTTTGAAGAGTCTTGGGTGTGAGTCCTAGACCTGTT